AGTCTCTGTTATGTGGTGAATGTGCTGACTTTGCCCAGCGTGAGTTAATTTCGGCTGTAGCTTTAACAAGGGGGATCTACATAAAACTAACCTTAAACTAACTTAGTCTACATATGCTTCTAATGCTAATTTGGTTTATACTAACTTAATCTATATGTTAATTTTGGTTTAAAAACAGACAGGTGGGGGAGACTTAAACTTCCTGGTCCTCCTGTCAGTCTTAGGGAACCACATACCTACAAGATCACTAATTGGCTTTATTGTAATGCTTGGGGGTGATATTTTTACCCTTTCAGGGTACCGTAATAACAGTAAAACTCACGGCAGAGAAATTGAATACCGGCCAGTACAAGGACACAAGGGAGGGCTCGTAAACTGGGCCCTGCCTCAGTGTCTTCCCAGTCCAGGCCTTGCCTTAGAATGGGAGGCAGCCTCTTTACCAGCTTGTGTTGTCTGCATGTCCCCGTCATGAATGTTCTCCATAAACTTCACTCTGTGTTTCCTAATTACTCCCAGCAGCCCTGAGCTGAAGTTGTGGTCTCTTCTCTCATCTATGACCAAGGAACATCGATAAGAGGTGACACGATTGCCCCAAAGTCCCAGAAAGTAGTGTGGGGGAGCCCAAGGTCCAGGAGACTCTGCACAGAGTGGCCCTCAGCCTCCCTGCCCTGCCTCCTGCACCCTTCTCCTCCCTCCCCCAGGCCTCCTGGGCCCTCCTGTCACAGTCTCTCTGCTGCGTCATGGTGCTCTGTCCTCTGAGCTCTGTGGACAGAGATGGGGGACGCTCTGTCTTGTCCTTTCAGGGCAGGTACCACAGGACGGTGAGTCAGTGGTGACCCCTGGTGGATGCCTCCTGATAGGCCCTGTCTTCAAATATTAAGCCAGAATTCCATTTCTGAGACACCAAGGCTGTTTTTACTCAACGAAATAAAAAACAAAGAGGAGAAATAATAAAGTAGTTATTTTATTGGCTAGACTCCAGTGAATGATATTAACAGAGACACTTCAGACTTGTACCCACAAAGGCCAAGAGGAGGAGACGGTGCTAGTCCTCCACTCCTCTTTAATTTTAATAACAAATCCCATAGGTACAAGAGAAAATTTTAGAAATAAATTAGGGGTGCATATTTACTAATGAAATAACCAATATGAATTGTGAGTACATTGCTATACATGGGCATATATATATGTACATGCAGGCCCCAAACACACACATGCACACACGCACACAAACATTATGTCTTTGTTTTTATTCATTCCGCACTATCTAATTTCCACTTAATGTCCTCAATGGACCATTTGCTGTGTAGTAATGTGTTTGTAACTTTGCAAACATTTGTGAGTTTATGAAGGGGTTTGTGTTTCTGATTCCTACGTCCACTGTACTGTGTGTAGCTAATGTACTTGGTGTTATTTCCATCATTAGTAATATATTGATTCTCTGTCATGCGTAGAAGAAGATCTATCCTGAAGAATGCCGCGGGTGCTCCCTGTACAGAGGGGGCCGGACCCTCCTGCGTCTGCAGAGTCACCTCCTGCTCCCAGCCCTGCAGAAGGGCAGGGAGTTCTCCAGCATCAGCTCCTTAATGACCTGCAGCTCCACAGCGACTCCCATGTGGGGGCGGCACCCTGGCTCCCCCAGGCTGTTTTCACGTGAGTTTCCCCTGTGCAGGGAGCAGTAGCAAAGTCCCTAAGAACGTGGTCATGGTAGGAGTCACACTGCTGTCCATAGGGTGGAGGCAGGACTCCCTGCACCAGGTTCTCCCACAGCCCCTGTCACCTGAAGGTCCACAGCAGTTCTGTGCGGTAACAACCTCCCCGGAGCCTCAGGGGAGTCCCGATGTCCAGGCAGCACAGTGAATGCAAAAGGAGTACATACTTCAGCTTAGACAATATAATTTATTTAATCCCTTCACTCAAAAATAGCATCACTTTCATATGTAATTGCTAAAAGCTCACGGATGAGATATTTCCATACTAAACATGGCTGTTGTTATTGTCATTTGGAGATTTTTTACTGAGGAGGCAGAGGGGGCCAGACCCTCCTGTGTCTGCAGAGTCACCTCCTGCTCCCAGCCCTGCAGAAGGGCAGGGAGTTCTCCAGCATCAGCTCCTTAATGACCTGCAGCTCCACAGCGACTCCCATGTGGGGGCGGCACCCTGGCTCCCCCAGGCTGTTTTCACGTGAGTTTCCCCTGTGCAGGGAGCAGGAGCAAAGTCCCTAAGTACATGGTCATGGCAGGAGTCACATTGCTGTCCAAAGGTGTAGGCAGGACTCCCTGCACCAGGTTCTCCCACAGCCCCTGTCACCTGAGGGTCCACAGCAGTTCTGTGCGGTAACGACCCCCCGGCG